TAAAATAGTAGCAAGATGTTCTGCACTTGATGTTGTGGTAGTGTCAGGCATTCTTTTAATGTGTATACTGTGATAATCGTCAATATTTAAAACTAGAGCACTATTAGTACTATCTGCAAGATTTGATTCCACAGTTGTCAAATGTTTTTTAGATATAGCATCCTTGTGGTAAGCAATTGAACGAGATGTTATTGTCATACCTAATGTTGCCAAGGTGTCTATCGTTGAATCAGGTGTCCCAGTAGAATCTAAATACATCCCTAGATCTCTTTTTGCATTATTAACAAACTTATTTCTAATACCACAAATAAAATAACATAAAAATACCAACTGTTTTGATACATTTTCCATTGTAGATTTGCTTTTTTTTAACGGGTTGATTGATAAATATAATTCATCAAAAAAATACTTCAGCCGTTTATCTTCTAATTCCATAACTGCACGAAATTCTTCAAATATCCAAATTGGTGGCAATCCTTGATGTTCTCGTTCATAGAGAATATCTGTGACTATCCCTACTGCTTGTGAAAAAGTTAAATTATTATTATTATCTTTACTAGAAGTTTCTATATAAATTTCTGGCTCATTATGATGGGACTGTTCTAATGCATGTTGCTGAAATTCGATTGCACTCCTTGTTATGATTCCATTATAACAGTTTAAACAAATTGTATCGCCTAGTTGAACATAATTTGGAAAAGTTTTGTTAGTTTGACCTTTGGAAATAACGTGTTCAGTTACCTTTCTCCAGTTGGATGACTGACTGTCTCTTGCATATAGTAATCGCACATGGCCCTGTAATACTACTAGTAAATGGCATTTTTGTCTTCTAAGTAAAGTATGTCGGGAGTATGATTCTTTTTTGATTCTTTTGCACAGTGAACGTTGGTATTATTTTAAAGGCTTTTGCAATGATTTTTTATTTTTTTATTAGTGAAACGTTGTATTCTTAAAAACCTTAAAAAGTACTTTAAACTATATAAATAATATGCGAACTCAATTGAAATTGATCGGCAAAATTAGCCAATCAGACAAACTTCTGCCTATGAGGACAGACGTGAATTGATTTTTTTTCTTTTCTTGGAAAAACAATTTATTTTTTGACAGAGCCCAAAATGACAAAATGTGAACGTTGTTGTTTGGTTTGGTTTGGTTTGGGTCTCCTAAAGAAGAAGTGTTAATAACTAACCAGAGGTACTATTTTTTATTTGTATTGATATTTTTTATTTTATATAAATATTTTAATTGGAATCAAAATGCAGAGCGGATCTTGCTGGGTAATTACAATTGATAATACATTGTTTTTTGTAATAAATAATATTAATAATAATATTATATATATTATTATACAAGAAATCAAGGCAGCACACCATTGAAAAAGAGACATTTCGAATATGCAATGTTTGATTACAGGAAATTGGCAGGCGTTGAAGCACGCACGCACGCTGCCTTGAACACATTACAGTCATTCACCTGTTCCTCGTGTACACAAGGCTAATCTGACCTGATTGATCAAAGATACAATGATGCAACAGAACTCCAGGGGTATTGCGTGGCTTTGGAGTTTACCAAGACTGCACCAATCGTCAATGACACTTTCACTAATCTTCCCAGACCAGAGATGGCTGCTGGCACGCTGGCCGAAAGGTTGCCTGCAACGATCCCGCCTCTAGGGCAAGGATGGCACTGTGACCAAGTCGCAACTCTGCAGATGAATATTAAAAGAATCTGCAGCTTGTTTCAAGCACAGGAGGTCGCAATCCAGAGCAGGGTTGGTGGCCATTGAAATTGCATTTGGACTCTGATGTTAAGAGGGAAGTTGTAAAATAGTGTTTGTTTTTTTATAATCATTTTTGTAAATTCTCTGTTTAACCAATTTAATGATTTTGAATAGGGGACTGGATTGGGTTTTTGCCCAATCAGTCCTCTGTCCTGTAGGTTAAAATTATTGCATGATTATATACATCCTTGTCAGCAATATGGCCAACAAGGAAAAAGTTATAAAATGGTTTGGATTTTGGTATGTTATAAGTTACACATGTTCCCAAATTTTCTGCTTCTCTTTAATTTTTATCTGACCAACTGAATTTGTTATTTTAGTAAATGGGGTAGGTTGTTGGTGAGTAGGCATGCCACTGACAAGACAGGGGACACCTTTGGGATGTACCAGCCAAACTCATAGAAAGGGATCTTTTGTCCAGGCTTAGGGTCACATGGATGTTAAGCACAGAAAATGTACACTATCAATGTATATATTTTTTTCAACAAAATAAACATTTAAAT